TTAAGCAAAAGTAAGAAGCTGCTCTACAATATTCTAGTCATGCCACACACTCAGAATTCTACTAATTTCATCTATGAGAACCCGTATTTAATATTCATCATGCTAATTCCTAAAGCCTCTGATTCTGAAACAAGATAAAGACAGCTAAAGCACTTGTGTTATTCATGTAGTAATATAACTACGTATTTATAAAGCATTTGGCCCAGTGCCTGGCATAAAGTAAACACTACGTGTTTGTTTTTTCTTAAATTAAAAAAAAAAAATTAAATTAAAAAGGAGCTGTCTTTAGAGTGGGCCGGCCGACAATGCCAGGAGTATGAATTCCGGAGCGAGGCAGCGCCGGCCCTGGAACATAGAGTTGACTAACACGGGGGTAATGCCACACGGTTGAGGCTGAGGGGATTTTAAGGAAATTACAGAATCCATGGAGGTGCTAACAGTGCAAACAAGATAAGCAGTGATCAGAAGCGAGGAGTTGCAGCTCAGCGAATGCTGTCGAGAATGAGGACGGTGTGGGCCTGGCTCCTGCCCTGCGTGGTGGGAGAGTCCCCCCTGCAGGTGGGGAGAGCAGGAGGAGCCGGCAGGAAGACTGCCGGGAACTGACAAAATTAAGTTCTCCACTGCAACAGGAAAAAACGGCAACGGTTGCTCTCGCATGTGAACTTCTCTCGGTCTTTTCAGATTCTGAAGCGCTGTTGGTCAGTACCTTAGCTCTCTCCTCTGCACCCTGCGTGCCACAGTCGAATGTGCCCCAACCCAAAGGGCCATCAATGTCCAAGTCCCACGCCATCACCCCCAACTTTTGCTACAATGCCTTTATTAAATTCTAGGTGAAAAGTTGCTATTTACATCCTTTGTGGCCTTGAAGCATTCTCCGCCAGTATGCCCTCACTGCCCCCACCTCTGTGGCAATCGGCAAGGACTCCCCCCGCCCCCTCCCCGGGACAGCAGCTGTGTCTGAGCCACCCATCTGCTTCTCTCTGGGGCGCTGCCATGCTCCGCTCCGTGCCCACTTGCGAGTATATCACGTTTCTATTTAGAAGCATTCTGCCCACCCTGGCTATTTCGGGCGACTGCTCGGTGTGGCCTCGGCAGCAGTCAATGGAACCCTGAGCCGCCCTCCCGCGGCACGCCCACGGTCCCCGGGCCGGGCCAAGGTCGGGAAAGCCAGGGTGAAGTGAGGGCTCCCACGGTGGACGCGCTCCCCATGGGGGTGGCAGTGGGCAGTGGAATCCCACAACAAAGGGAGGGAACGTGTGGTTAAGTCCTGGGTGCTCTGGTACTCTGCCAGCAGAATGGGGACTCACGTGGGACTGTGAGTATACACTGAGCCTACTTTTTAAAATCGAGGTAAAAATTTTGCAGAACATAAAATTGGCCATTTTAAAGCTGGAAGACATTTAAAACATTCACAGTGATGTGCAGCTACCATCTAGTTGCAAAACAATTTCGTCACCCCAAAGAGAACCCCAGACCCATTAAGCAGTCAATTCCCATTTCTCCTTCCCCCCCAGCACTTTGCAATTGCCACTCTGCTTTCTGCCCTATGGATTTATCTATTCTAGAGATTTCACTTAAATGCAATCATACAACATGTGGCATTTTGTGCCTGGTTTCTTTCATCCACATTAAGGCACGTCTGAGAATGTCACTCCTTCTCGTGGCTGGTAACATTCCGCTGGGTGTATATGCCTCATCTGTTTGCCCAGTCACCTGCCGGTGGGCACGTGGGCTGTTCCCACCTTTCGGCTATTATAAGTCATGAATTATGCTGCCATGAACATCCCTGTGTGAGTATTTGCTTGAGTCCTGTTTCCAGCTCTTTGGGGTATGCACCAAGAAGTGGGATTGCTGGGTCACGTGGCGATTCCATGCCTAACTTTCTGAGCAGCTGTCACATGGCTTTCCACAGCAGCTGCGCCGCTTGCCGTCCCCGCCAGCGAGGCACCGAGAACCCATTTGTCCACGTCCCTGCCACACTCTGTTTCCTGGGTGTCTGTCTTTGTGTCATTTCTGCTGTTGTTACTATAGCCGTCCTAGCGGATGTGAAGTGGTGTCTCAGCGTGGTTTCAACTTTTATTTCCATGATAGCTAAAGATGTAGGACATCTTTTCATGTGCTTATTGGTCATTTGTATTTATTCTCTGCAGCATGTCTATTCAGATATGCTGATCGTTTTCAATTGGTCTTCATTATTGTGTTCTAAGGATTCTTTTATATATTAATAGTATGGATAAATACTAGGCCCTTATCAGATATATGATTTGCAAACATTTTCTCAAATTCTGTGGGTTGACTTTTCACTCTATGGATTATGTTCTTTGATGCACAGAAGTTTTTAATTTTGGTGTAGACGGTCTAATTTATCTACTTTATCTTTTTTTGCTCCTGCTTTTGGTGTCATCTCTAAAGGAACCATTGCCCACTTATGCAAAATTTTACCTCGATTTAAAAAGCTGAAGGGGAGCTCAGTGTAGTGACTCACGTCGCCACGCCACGGTGAG